CCCTGACATCACCGGAAGTGTGTCATAAGGCCACACCCCCTGACATCACCGGAAGTGTGTCATAAGGCCACACCCCCTGACATCACCGGAAGTGTGTCATAAGGCCACACCCCCTGACATCACCGGAAGTGTGTCATAAGGCCACACCCCCTGACATCACCGGAAGTGTGTCATAAGGCCACACCCCCTGACATCACCGGAAGTGTGTCATAAGGCCACACACCCCTGACATCACCGGAAGTGTGTCATAAGGCCACACACCCCGCCCCCAACGGTCCCGGCCGCCACCGCCAGCCTTGCTGCTCCACTGCCGAGCCCCATGAGGGGCCCAGCGGTGGACCTGCAAGGCCAGCAGGAGTGCAAGGAAGCCCTGGAAGGCCCTCCCTGGCCCCAGGCAGGCAGGGGTGGGGAGAGGCAGGGAGGAAGCAACTTACCCTCCCTCTTCTCCTGCCTCCTCCTGGCTGAATGAGGGCCGGAAGCGTGGCGGCCGGAAGCAGGGGGCGGGGCTTCGTCATGTGCCCTGCCCCCCGTACCTTACCCGGGGGAACTGCGATTCCCCGCGAAATGACCTCTGATGCCGGGGATTGAACCTGGGACCTTCTGCATGCCGAGCAGAGGCTCTCCCACTGAGCTGCAGCCCTTCCACCAGCCCCTACCCCCAGCTAAGATGTTGCAGATAATAGGGTGTGTGTGCCTCATGTGAGTCCCAAGTGCACAGCCAATGTAGTGACCCCGTCCTGCATGTATGGGTGAGTCACGGCCACTTAGTTTTCTGCAGGGCCCCGCCCCGACTGGCCAGCTGTCCTGACGATGCAGAAAATCAGTGATGCAATCTCTTGGCTGGCAGAGTGGAGGCTTTTTGGAAGGACGAGCGAGGTCAGGTAAATTTTCTCTCTTGGCTTCAGCTTATGCTACGGCAGGCCCTGGGGGAGATGGAGCAGAACAGATCAAAGAATCTCTCCCGCTACCAAAAATTGGATAGGTAAGCAAAAAAGAAAGTACTTCTATCATCAGGATGCGCTTTGATTGTATAGGAGTTTTCCTCCCCTCTAAAAGAACTAGTCTGCTTTTTATTCCCGCGAGGCAGTGGTGGATTGAATTGTATGAGATGAGCCAGTTAAAATAGATTCTGGAAGATTCAAACCAGGATCCTTTTTGGGGGGAGGGGGGCCAGTTTGGTGTAGTGGTTAAGTGTGCGGACTCTAATCTGGGAGAACTGTGTTTGATTCGCCACTCCTCCACTTGCACCTGGCTGGATGGCCTTGGCGAGGTCAGGTAAATTTTCTCTCCTGGCTTCGGCTTATGCTTACGGCAGGCCCTGGGGGAGATGGAGCAGAACAGATCAAAGAATCTCTCCCGCTACCGAAAATTGGATAGGTAAGCAAAAAAGAAAGCACTTCTATCATCAGGACGCACTTTGATTGTATAGGAGTTTTCCTCCCCTCTAAAAGAACTAGTCTGCTTTTTATTCCCGAGGCAGTGGTAGATTGAATTTTATGAGATGAGCCAGTTAAAATAGATTCTGGAAGATTCAAACCAGGATCCTTTTTGGGGGGAGGGGGGCCAGTTTGGTGTAGTGGTGAAGTGTGCAGACTCTAATCTGGGAGAACCGTGTTTGATTCCCCACTCCGCCACTTGCACCTGGCTGGATTGCCTTGGGCAAGCCATAGCTCTGGCACAGCTGTTCTTGAAAAAAAGCAGTTTGTGTCAGAGCTCTCTCAGCCCCACCCACCTCACAGGGTGTCTGTTGTGGGGAGGGGAAGGGAGAGGAGTTTGGAAGCCGCTCTGAGACACCTTTGGGTAGTGAAGGGCAGGGTATCTCCTCCTCTTCCTTCCAGTCTATATACTCTTTTTTGAGTGAGAGCACTGGGAGAGTCTGACCTCTCCCGGTGGAATGCTTCTGGTTTCAGCAAACTTCTCTCTCATTTTTGTTAACTAATGACAAAGTTTGCCTGTTTTGGTTATTTTAATTCATGGAAGCACTCGATGCCGTCAGTTCCTCGTGAGTTTTGGCAGGGGCAAACAGACAACACTGCATAAAGCTGTGGGATCCTTTTTGTCTCTACTTCTTTCTATCTTTCGTTGGGTGGCTGGTTGATGTATACGTAACACACCACGAGGAACTGAACTGCCAAAATGGGATGTAATTTACGATCATACTTTTTTGATGCGCGAGCCAGGATGCAAAAGTACAATACAAAGTCTAATCAGCTTGATTAGAGAACAGGAGAAGTACTTTTTTGTGTGCTGTCAAATTGCTGCCTACTTATGGTGACCTCGTAGGGTTTTCAAAACAAGAGACATTCAGATGTGGCTGGCGACTGCATAGCGACCCTAGACTTCCTTGGTTTCTCCTGGTACTAACCAGGGCTGACCCTGATTAGCTTCCAAGATCTGACAAGATCAGGCTAGCCTGGGCCAACCAGGTCGTGACAGAAATACCCGAGGGCAGAAAATTAATATCTGTAGTGAGATAAGAATCCCATATCCCTATTCGGTCCTGGGTGGTCCATTGTTCAGAATTTGTGAATGAACTCAAGTTCAGCAATCTGACTGAATTCTGGTTTGTAGGCAACACAGTGTGTTGCTTTGTTGCCTTTAGAATGTCAGGATGGTGTGTGGAGTTTTGGCAAGGTGTGTCAGGGAGGAAGAATGTGAGCCCAAGGCCTTCCTTTCTTCTGAGGTTGAAATGTAGCCATAGACTTGAAGGGGATGGAGTTTGTGGGTGACTTGGATCAGGATGGTGGAGGGAGTGAACCAAAACATTCCAGATGACCAAAATAGCTTAGCCTCTGACCTGCTGAGTGCTGCTAAAAAGGGGAGGGGCCCTGGCTCAGGGGCAGATCATCTCCTCTGTACACAGAAGGGCCCATGCTCAGTCCCCGGCATCTCCAGATAACGGAGCCGGTAGTAGGGTTTAAAAAAAATTAAAAATCAGTTTCCAACATCATACAATTTTTATCACTTTGGGCAATAATAGGATAGTTACAATTTTTTCACCAGAACACACAATAAATCATTAAATCTTATAATAACCGTTAACCAAACTTCAAAAATATAATGTAGATCTGTACCGAGGATGATTAGGAATTATGCCATTTTCCGCTGTATAGCTTAAAAGAGGATACCAAATTGTCATAAATTTAGATTCACAAAGATCTGGGGATGAGTTAGTGTCAGGACCCACAGCAACAATGAGGTACACACTTGCAGGAAGGTTTTTCTTTATTTGAAGCTATAGATGCATGGACAGGAACACTGTTAGGAATGACAGGCAAACTATGCGCATGAAAGGTTATAGTACATTCATATGAGCAACAGCCAATTACTAATGTTCCCGCGCGTGCCTTGCGGCCTGGGAACCAACTGCTACTGAAAACAAAACAGGTACGAGCTTCCCACGGCTCATCCTGACTAAAGTCAAAGCAGGAACTTCAGCGACTTCTCCAGTGGCCTTGAAAGATATTTGTTGCAGCTGAAGCGGCAGCTTGCTGACAGTTAGCGGCAATTAAGCGAAGGGGGAAGCATGCGTATGGGAAACGATACAAAACGAAACTTGGCAGCTTGCTGACAGAAGTTGTATAGGCAATTTTACTCATGATAAATTGATCCCATATTTTGCCACTGCTCAGTAGTAGGTGGATTTTTGTCCATCCATTTTGCGGCGATTGTTGATCTTGCTGAAGAGATCAACATTAAGATCAGTTCTATTTTCTGTTGGTTTATTTTTGGGGTCAAGAGCAGGGAGTGGTGGATGTGGGTGATCTCTACCTAACATCCTGGTTAGATTCTATTCTGTTCTGTTCTATGAAGTGGGGGTGCATTTGGGAACACAAGGGGGTGGTGGACTGTTTTTTGAGGATCACGAAACCGCGGGGAAAATTGGGCAAAGCTGCAGGTCAAAATGCAGCCGCGCGGCTTCGAGTGGGAAATTGACCAATAGAAGTGGGGCAAAGGGAGGCGTGACCGCGGCGCAGCTCTTGTGTGAAATCAGTCTGTGTCTTAAAGGTGCCACTGGACTGTTTTGGACCGGGGGGGGCGGGGGGGCTCTGCTTACCAGGCTTCTTCTTGCTCTGACTGAGGGCTTCTGGGAGCAGGGGGTGGGGCTTGTTGCATGTGCCTGCCTGCTGGGCTCTTTACTGCCGGAGCTCCGCTCCTGTGCGCTTCTGCAGGAAATGACCGCTGGTCCTTAGCATCTCCAGGTAAAGAATCAGGCAGTCAGTGATGTGAGAGACCTCCGCCTGAGACCCTGGAGAGCCACTGCCAGTCTAAGTAGACAATATTGACCTTGACGGACCAAAGGTCTGATTCAGTCAAAGTCAGCTTCATGTGTTCATGCGTGAACTAAACTTTCCAATGTCTGCTTTGCTTTCAGCCTCTGGAAGTCAATATGGATAAGATCCTGGAAGCCATCTTGAATTCTTCGTACCCCGACCACATGAAACACGGGTTGGTGCGGCGGGTCATTGAAGCTTCCAAACAGCCCATGGACAGTGAGCAGTGTTGGTCGATGCTCGAGCTCTCCACCAAGCTCTTCCTCGTAGGAGACACCAAGTTGAAGAGGTCGGTTGGGAAAGAGCTCTTGGAAGTTTGTGGCCATTACCACCAGGAGGCGTTTGAGGAGTTCTTCAACGTCCACTTCCTCTTAAGTCTCCTCCAAGAGGGTTACGGGTCCCTAGGGAAAAGGAGTCTGTACGTGCTGGACTACATCCAACTCGGGCTGCCGTTTGTTTTGGACAGGCCGTCGGCCAATGACATTTTCAGCCTCCTGAGGGTTGAGGTTCTCCGGAAAGTCTGCGAGAGGCCGGGGCTGAAACAGTGTGTGAAAATCAGCAAGCTCTTGACCCAGTACCCGCAATGTATCCCCACTGGCAAACGCCAAGCCCTCTTCTGCCAGCAGCTCATCCGGTGCATCGGGCAGTTCCGCACCGTCTCGGGAAGAGAAGAGGCCATTGTGGACTTTCTAGACCATGTGATCAAAGTCAGCAGCTTGCTGCAGAAAATCTGGAAGGCTCAGCTGTCCTCCATTCTACCGTCCTTGAAAGAACTCTTCACTATAATTTCTTCGACAGGTAAGGACAGAGGTCATTTCGGGGGGATCGCGGGGGATCGCAGTTCCCCCGGATGAGGTACGGGGGCCAGGGAGGGCCTTGGCGGGGCTTCCTTGCACTCCCGCCGACCTTGCAGGTCCACCGCCGGGCCCCTCATGGGGCTCGGCAGTGGAGCTGCAAGGCGGGCGGCGGCAGCCGGGACCGTTTGGGGCGGGGTGTGTGGCCTTATGACACACTTCGGGTGATGTCAGGGGGTGTGGCCTTATGACACACTTCCGGTGATGTCAGGGTGTGTGGCATATGCTAATGAGTAACGCTAATGAGTTCCCCTAGCTCTTTTTCTATGAAATGACCCCTGGGTAAGGATGCCGGGTGTGTGTGGAGCTGCAACATGGGTTTAGTAGTATTACAAGAAAAATGACCAGCATTATGACAGGCCGTGTGCGTATATTTAGAAGGGCTATTGTATGTGCAGCAGGCCTTTCTATGTACAGAGCCAATATATAGTTGCCCAGCTGGATCCTTGGTCAGTGCGGGTTGAGTCACCATCTGATGTCTATGATCAGGAGGGCATACTTTGCCCTCACTTACCATGGTAGTCCAGGATTTTTCATGGGTCAGCAAGTTTTGTCTTCGCTTTCCACAGTCTCCCTGGTATCTGGGATTAGGAGACACAATTTACCCTTGTTTAACGTGTTATCTCCCGCCAACCTAGCAGTTCGAAAGCAAGACATTGCAAGTAGATAAATAGGGACCACTTCGGTGGGAAGGTAACAGCGTTCCGTGCGCCTCGGTGTTTAGTCATGCCGGCCACATGACCACGGAAACGTCTTCGGACAGCGCTGGCTCTTCGGCTTTGAAACGGAGATGAGCACCGCAACCCTAGAGTCGGATTCGACTGGCTTTCGAGCAAGGGAACCTTTACCTTTACTTTAATGTGTTATCATCAGTATCCAGGAAAGGAGGGCAAGGACTTCTTAATCATTTTGAGCCTGGGGATACCCTTGAAGTTCTGACACAGGACAGTGGGCACAACCACAAGATGCCTGCCACAGGAAGTGAAGCCAACTGCAAAATGTCAGGGAGTGAGTTTCGCATAACTCTTAAGAGCAACTCTTCAACATATCTGGCAGAAGCTCTGCTTAACAGGATGCCTTTTAAAATGAACATATTGATTTAAAATAATTTTCTTGCATACCCGCAGCATACCTTCAGTCACGCAGTGAAGATTTATTTATTTTTTTTGCTGTGGGCATACCTTCAGTCACGCAGTGAAGATTTTTTTTTTTGCTGTTGTGGCAAGGGCTGCCAAAGCAGCTTTTTCAAAATTTGCACAGCCAACCAGGTGGCCAATCAGAAGCCCTGCTGGGCAAAACCTGCACCTGGCCTGACCCACTTTCTAAAAACACTTGTTAGATGCCAGGAAAAGTGTCAAGAGGTACTATGGTGCCCACGGGCGCCATGTTGAAGATTCCTGTTCTAAGCCCTTATTACCAAAGTTGTTTAGTGTATGCATGGTTTTGCACATCCTCATGGAAGCTGTGGTCTCCCTCCCCCTACAATTACTGATCTTGACAAGATCCGTAGGAGTGGCAAGTTGAGGAGCAAAACGACCAGCGTTTCAAGGAGCAAAGGAAAAGAGACCCAAATGCCATTTTGGGCTGTATCAACAGGAGTATAGTGTCCAGATCACGTGAAGTGATGGTATCGCTTTACTCTGCTCTGGTTAGACCTCACCTAGAGTATTGTGTTCAGTTTGGGGCACCAGAATTTAAGAAGGATATAGACAAGCTAGAATATGTCCAGAGGAGGGAAACAAAAATGGGTGAGGGGTCTGGAGACCAAGTCCTATGAAGAAAGGTTGAAGGAGCTGGGTATGTTTAGCCTGGAGAGGAGACGACTGAGAGGGGATATGATAACCATCTTCCAGTACTTGAAGGGCTGTCCTATAGAGGATTATGTTGAGTTGTTTTCTGTTCCCCAGCAGGTCAGACCAGAACCAACAGGTTGAAATTAAATCAGAAGAGTTTTCGGCTAAACATTAGAAAGAACTTCCTGACAGAGCGGTTGGTCAGTGGAACAGGCTTCCTCAGGAGGTGGCGTGCTCTCCTTCTTTGGAGGTTTTCAAACAGAGGCTAGATGGCCATCTGACAGCAGTGCTGATTCTGTGAACTGAGGCAGATCATGAGAGGGAGGGCAGGAAGGGTTGCAACTTGCATCTAACCCTAGCCGCCCTGAGCCCGTTCGCGGGCAGGGCAGGGTATAAATGTAATGAAAATAAATAAAAAAATTAATCTGTGCATAGTTCTCGTGGCCCTTTTTTACACACCCAAGGCAATGCTGATCGCCACTTTGGGGTCAAGAAGCAATTTCCCTCCAGGCCAGTTTGCAGCTGCTGGTGTGACCTTGAGTCAGTCACAAGCCCTCGCAGAGCTGTTCTCTCAAGAGCAGTCCTCGAAAGAGCTCTCGCAGCCCCACCTACGTCACAGGGTGTCTGTTGTGGGGAAGGGAAGCAAAAGGAGATTGTAAGCCACTCTGAGACTCCGAGTGAAGGGCGGGGTATAAATCCGTTCTCTTCTTCTCCTTCATCTCTAATCGCTTCTCGGCAGTGAAATCCTTAAGCGCCCTGAGCATGTAGACATGAATTGGTCCTTAGCGAAGGGGGAAGTGTTTATGGTGTTCTGTTATTTTTTTTGTGAGTATTTGTGTGTGTATGCCTGGAAGTCATGGTTGACTTCTGACGACCCCTAGTGGGGCTTAGACATTTCAGAGAAACGGCTCTCTATTGCCTGCCCCTGCATTCCAGCCCTGGTATTCCCTGGAGGTCTCCCATCCAAGTACTTGCCAGGGTCGGCCCTGCTTAGCTTCCAAGATCTGACGGGATCGGGCTTTGGTTTCTGTGATTGTTTAAACCGACCTTATAATTTCACACTGAGGGGGGGGATATCTGAAGGAATATTATCAAGGGGGGTAGAGCCGCAAAATCAGGGGTCATTTACTGCAGGAGCGCACAGGAGCGGAGCTCCGGCAGTAAAGAGCCCAGGGGGGCGGGCACACGCAACAAGGCCCACCCCCTGCTCCCAGCAGCCCTCAGTCAGAGCAAGAAGCAGCCAGGTAAGTTGCAGAGCCCCCCCCCCCGAGCCCCCTCCTGTCCAAAATAGTCCAGTGGCACCCTTAAGACCAAGTTTTATTCAGGTACAAGCTCTCACTCCTCTGTGAGGACGACAGATCTGCACGTTCCTCCACCCCCCAATAGCTAGCAATCCAAAACAGTCCAGTGGAACCTGAGCAGTGGGTGTTGCCTTCTGACACACTTCCGGTGATGTCAGGGGGTGTGGCATATGCAAATAGGTTATGCTAATAAGTTGTGCTAATGAGCTCCTGCACCTCTTTTTCTACAAAATGACCCCTACGCAAAATACAGGTGTTTCTTTCATGTGTTCTGCCCGTGCACTGCTTCTCTTGCAGAAGAGCAGGAGGCGCCCTCGATCGCGTTAGCCAGCGTGGTCCAGTACGTTCCGCTGGAGCTCATGGACGGGATCTTAAGAAACCTCACCAACGACGACAGCATATCGAATGTACAGATGATGACGGCGATCGACAGGTAAAGAGGTGCCGGCGGGTCAAAGAGGCTGCGACGGGGTTACCCACACCCTGTTTTCACAAGTGAGCCTGGCAGACGGGGTCTTCTGGGTTTTTTTAGATGTAAGCAGGGCTGTTTTGGGGCAGGAACGCACAGGAACGGAGTTCCAGCTGGCTCCCGAGTTGGCCACGCCCAGCAGGAACCCATTAGCATAATAGGCCACACCCAACAGCAGGAACTCATTAGAATTGGCTACATTGGGGGTGTGTGGCCTAACATGCAAAGGAGTTCCTGCTACAAAAAAAGGCCCTGGGTTTTGACAACAAACAAGGTAAACAGAATAAGAAGCAAAAGGTGGGTGTGGCTGGATGACCACACTTCTGGTAACATGGGGGTGCGGCCTAATGTGCTAATGAGCTGTGCTGTCAGGGGTGTGGCCCAATATGCTAATGAGCTTCCTGCTGTTGGGTGTGGCCTATTATGCTAATGAGTTCCTGCTGGGCTTTTTCTACAAAAAGAGCCCTGGACGTAAGCCTCTCTTGCCTACGCTCCCGATTGAGTTAGGGTTCCCACTTACCTCCCTGGCGCAGGGAATTGCCAGCTCCCAGGCCAGTTTTCTCAGTGGGTTGCCAGGTCCCCCTTGGCCACAGGCGGCGGCGGGGGGGGGGGGAGGG